ACGCTTTCAGTTTTAAAATATATCTTTTAAGTAAATTTCTCTTAGTCACATTCATTCATATTTTATAACAATTCTTATAGAAAGTTAAATAAAGTATCTCTTTCAAGGACAAATTATAATATACATAAACTTAAAGTCTAAACAGTGGAACTATAATTTTAAACTGTCATACTATTAAACATCAACAGGTTGACATAACATCTGTTCAATTTTTCAGCAAAATTGTTATGATAACCAAAATATGTAAGATATATGTTTAACTGATTATTTCAAGTACAAAAACTAATAATATATCAGCTTATTAACCACAAATAATGTAATTATTTCAAACCTATATTTATCCTTTTTTAAATGCTAGTGATTTGCAAGATTATACTCAGCTAGGAAATTTACAAGTCTTATCTCAAAATTCACATTTAAAAACAGCAAGGGTATTTTATGTCCTAATTTAGGGGCATATCTTGACTTAAAAACAAAACAAGAAAGAAATTAGTCTATTTTCTGTACAATGCTGAAATAATCCAAAATTGTATCATTGTACTGCTTTTCAGGAAAGGTAGATCACATCCTTTTCAAACATAAATCACATCCTGTCTCTCCTCCAGTTTTTGCCTCCACTAGTATCCCATCTCCAGTCAAAAGCCAAAGTCCTTACAGGGGTTCCATGCCCTCCCCCTTCCCCTTCCCTTGCTCAAGCCACAATGGTTTCCTTGCTGCTTCTCCTGCCTCCAGGTCTTGTACTCTTCCCGCAAACAGTTCTAAGCACTCTCCTTCACCTATTTCAAGCCTGTGTTCAAGTATCGGCTTCTCAGTGAAATCTTCTCCAATCAGTCCCATTTTCAACTGGTATTCCAGCACCCTTCCCATCTCCTCACAAATTACCTGTCTGCTAAGGACTGATGTGCTCCCCCAAAATTCTTATTAAAAATCCCCAACCAGCCAGGCTTGGTGGCTCAGCCTGTAATCCCGTGCTTTTGGGAGGCTGAGGTGAGTGAATTGCCTGAGCCTGCAGGTTCGAGACCTGCCTGGGCAGCGAGACCTCAACTCTACGATAAATCAAAAAATCAGCCGGGCATGGTAGTGCATGCCTGTAATTCCAGCTACTTGGAAGGCTGAGGCGGAAGGATCACCGGAGCCCAGCAGGTCGAGGCTGCAGTGGCCAGGAGCGGCCACTGCACTCCAGTCTGGGCGACAGAGTGAGACTCCAACTCAAAAACAAAAATCCCCAACCACCAATATGACTGTATCTGGAGATAGGACATATAAGAAGGTAATTAAGGTTAAATGAGGTTATAAGGGTGGGGCCCTGATCTAGTAGGATTGGTGTCTTTATAAGAAGAGACAGCAGAGGGTCACATCTTCGCCTGCTCCCACCCCCCATTTATTATCTGTCTCCCCTTACTATAGAAGATGCTTTGTAAGGACAAGGATTTTTGTCTATTTGGTTCACATCAACTACAATACCATCAACCTGGCATATGCCAGATGATCAATAAATACTTGTTGAATGCATAAGGTATAAATTTAAAACATCTTAAATGTTGATATACTATAGTAAGAAACAACATATTTTTGTGATGACATTTAAAGAATTCAATAAGAAGTTAAAATATACAATCTTCAGTAAGTTATACTTAAAAATAAAAATTACCAAAATTTGTGTTCTCATCATAGAACCACAGGATTTTGCTTTCTTGGTTCTCTTCCCTTGAATCTAATATACAACAGGCTCTGTCTTCCTACCACCAATTAAATGTGAAAAGCACCTAATACTGTTGCTGTCTGATCTTTTACTCTACTCACCTCCTAGGTGAACTCACCTACTCTCTCTGCTTCAAATATCACCTCTTTCTAGGTGACTCTGAAATCAAAATCTCTGAGCCTAAACATGTGTGTTCTGGTGCTGTATTACAACTACCTTTGAGACGTCTGTCACTTCAGCCATACTCAGAGATCTCAAAGGACAGGAGCCTTATGTAAAATATAACATTGTACTCTCACTTGAGTAGAAAAAAGAAATCCCACATAAAAGTAATTTTATAATGTAGTCTTTAGTAGTATACAGACTCACATAATTCTATATACTGCCTGAGGAACTACTTTCTTTCATTAGAGAAATTAGACCTATGATTGTAGGGAATTCCAATCTTTGAGTTATGACTGTGTATTCTAATTAACTATCAGTTTCACTTCAATCACTGAATTATTCCCAATATTATAGTAGCGTTTTATTACTTTCAAATTGAATTTAATCACTTGGGGGGGGGATATAAGAAATTATATGAGGTTTTCAAATTAAGTTTCTGAACTGGGATAGTTTATTTTTAGAAAAATAGCTCCAATCTTTTTCTTCATCATTGCCTCCTGAATAACACTTGTTTCTCTAACCATTTTTCTGCATACTCACGAATCAATTCATTGTTATTTTAAAGACTTTTGTAAAACACATTTTTTTACCTCTCTGAAGATCCTCAGTAATTTGATGATGAAATGACAATTCAGAATTTAGGAAAGTATTCAGGTGAAAAGACAGGCTAAGCCTCGAGGGTGTACTAAGGTCCCGGGGACTTGGACAGTACTAAGGAGCCTCTTACAATCAGTGATCCTCAGTAGAAATGAGTCACTGATGAAGTACATAATGTCCCAGAGGCCTATGGTGCCTTTTTAAGATGAATGATTACTATACATGATGTCAAGTCAATTTCGCTTTTTCTTTCTCAAATATTTTTTCTTCAACTTAAGAGTATAAATGAAATCTAATTAGAATAGGTATAGATACAGATTGAATGTTAGCATCCCCTCCAGGTTCTTATGTTGAAATCCTAACCCCCAATGCGACAGTGTTAGGAGGTGGGAGGCTTTGGGAGGTGGAGCGCTCGTGTATGAAATCAATGCCTTCATAAAAGAGGCTACTGAGAACTACCTTACCCCTTACACCACATGAGGTTATAAGAAGAAGATGGCTATCCATGAGCTGGAAAGCAGACCCTCACCATATACCAAATCTGTCAGCCCTTGGATCTAAGCCTCTAAAACTATGAAAAGTACACTTCTGTTGTTTATAAGCCATGTAGTCTATGGTACTTCTGCTACAGTAGCTCAAACATAAACAGGTATTAAGAAACCATGTTTGGCTGTCCACAATGCTCATGAAAGGCACAAAGTATGCCCAAACTATCAACAAAGCCTGTCAACAACTACTTTCAGAATATATGCAGAATCTGACCAGTCCTCTCCCCTTTTCTGCTATCAGACATATCGGTCCAAGACACCATCATCTCTTACCAGAATTATTAAACATTCTCCCGGATTCCACCCTTGCCCCACTACAGTTCTCCACATAGCAATGCCAGCGATCACAATAAAACATGAGTCAGATCAAGCCACTCCTCCACTCAATACCCTCGACTAGCTTCCCATATCACTGTTCTAAAAGCCAAGGTCTTACAGTGGCATGGAAGAACCCTCATTGTCTGGTCCCCAAGACCTCATCTTCAACTGTTCTCTCCTCCCTTACTCCACTCAGTCCCAATGTCTTCCTTGCTATTCCTTGAACAGATCAAACATATTCTCACTTTGGTCCTCCACATTAGCTGCTTTTTCAGTCTAAAAGGCTTGATCTCCCTCCAGACAGCCAGAGAACTTGCTGCCCTGCTTCCTTCCAGATTCTCTTCAGTGAGGCCTTCGTTGACAAAGAACATATACTAGTACTGGTTCCCGGCAGCCCATCCCTTGCTAATACCTTTAACCTACTTTACTTTTCTCAGTGTGTTTGTCACTATTTGATATATTACATGTTTACATGCTTGTTTGTTATTTACATTACCTAACTAAAATATTAGCTCCACGAAAGCAGACTTTTTGTTCTTTGCTTATTCTCCAGCAACACAACACAGAATGGTGGATTTTCAATAAATATCAATAAATGCTGATAAAATGGATGCCTAAATAAATCTTGTATTAGTTTCTTATCCCAAACAGGATGCAAGTTCTTCTTCCCTCAACCACATGCCATTATATTTCCACTGTTCCTATGATAAATCATATTCTTTGTATTAATAATCATTTTGTACTTTTTAAGCATCCTGAAAATATCAAGAACCATCTCTTATTTCTCTTTGTATTCTCTGCACATAACATCATTTCTTTCTTCTAATAGGTACTCAGGATTTGTTGGGCTGAATTTGAAGTCATACTGAAATATACTTCTATAATACACCTGAATCTGTTATGTTACCCTTTAGCAAACTGCCCACCTACCAATTCTTAAATTGCTAAAAAATGTTTTACTTTAAGAGCCAGCCAGTAAATGTGACACAAGTGAGACAGAAGAGACTGGCTCAGAGATGCCTGACAGCCATTTGCACTGATGTGAAAACCACAGAAAATGTTTTGAATGCTGTTAACAAATCAAAAGATTTTCAGAGGATAGTGAAAACTACTTGGAAGAAAGCTGCCTCAGCTTGATCCATTATTCTACTAAAAAATGCCAGACAGCACATGTTTCACTCTATCTTTATAAGGAAACAAATAACTAGAAATAAGCTAACATAGATTTTTTTCTTAAGAAAATAAATTCTGTCATCACTACTGTAATTAATACCCACTTGACCCAAAACTTTTGTACAACTCATCAACTGGTTTAAGATTTAACAAAAAGCTGAAATCACCAAAGAAAGAACAAACTATGATCAAGATGTCAAAAAACAAAAGCATGCCTTGAGTTTTAAACTTTTATCAAATCAGTTAAAGCGAAGGTCTGATACTAAAGGGGATAAATCTTTACTATTGAGAAAAATGAACTGTACGTAGTCTCTAAGACTTGTGGACAAGCACAATTTTACTTTTCAGTCAAATTCTTTGAAAACTGGTAATTCATAATTATAGTAATCAAAAGAGTTGACAGGCTAGAATCTCTTTTACCAATCAAAAGAGGTAACTGCATTAAGAATAAATAATACAGTAAAAATAATTTTCTGCTTTATATAGTGTGAGCTCACCTGAGGTATAAGTCTATCCAAGTGCTCAGCTCGATTTCCATGAGAAGGGTGTGTCGATAACCATTCCGGCAACTTGGGCTGACCATGCAGGCTATCTGAAAACTCCATCTGCTGCCAAAACACTGAACTGGCTCTTATGTCTACACAAGCCTAAAACCAAAATAAAACCACACAATGAGCTTAGTTTTGAGGATTTTTAAAAACATTTAACTCTGTGTTGATTTATTTGTTTGTTTATTTATTTATTGAGTCTGAGTCTCACTCCACTGCCCAGGTTGGAGTACAATGGCATGCTTATAGCCACCTCAGCGTTGACCTGCTGGGCTCAGGCGATCCTTCTGCTTCAGTCTTCCAAGTAGCTGGAACTACAGGCGTGTACTACCATACGTGGCTAATTTTTCTTTTTTTTTTCTTTTTTATTGTAGAGATGAGGTCTTGCCAAGTTGCCCAGGCTGGTCTCGAACTCCTGGGCTCAGGCAATCCTCTCACCTCAGCCTCCCCAAAGTGCTGGGATTACAGGCTTGAGACATTGCACCAGGCCTCTATGTTGTTTTAAAAACATTTTCTATCATTATTTTAATAAAAGTAGAATATAATCATTGCTTTAAAAAAAAACCTCAAACAATATGGTGTTACAGTATAGAGATAAGGGAATGCTCACCCTCCCTGTTTATCATGCCCACATATACAACATTCACAATAATCCCAATCCCCAAAGACAACCCATCAGTTTCAGTATGATGGACATTAAGAATATGTATCAAGGGTAAAATCTTCCAAACAAAAATTTATGTTTTCATAAAAATAAGGTTTTAAATATAATGTTATTCAATTACACTAAAGAAATTTCGCTTCTGTATCACTAGAATCATTAGAAAAAGACTTCAAATAAACATGCAAAAGAAGACAGTCAATTTTTAATGTGCACATCAATTTATCTACTTTCTTCAATTTATGTGGGGAATATAGTTAAGTCATTTGAAATACTTTATTAAAGTACAATACTAGTATTTTTAAAAGAATATACGTAGATCTTGTTACATGTGTGCACAATTCCATTATACATTCATATACATACCCACATATATATGCTTGCTATGCACAGAATGTATCTGGAAGGCTATTTAAGAAATTATTTTTTGATACACATATTTTATTTCAAAGATGTGAGGTGCAACTGAGGATCAGGTATACAGGTGGCCATCGTACAAGTAAATTTTGGCTCTCCCTCTGGTCCCCACTTTGCCTGGTTTGAAATCAGGTAACCTTACTGATGTTGTGTTACTCCCCACCAATCCAAGCTGTATCCTGCTACTGCCAATCCCTTTCTTGTAGTATTATGGTAAATGTTCAGGGTCTGCTTATGAATGAGAACATATGGAACTCTGTTCTTTGTTTCTATGACAGATCACTGAATATGACGGACTCTAAATCCAACCAAGTTGTTGCCGTAAGTTTGTCCTTCTCTATGGCTGTGTAATATTCCATCATGTATATATACCACATTTTTTTAATACAGTTCAGTTTCAATAGGCAGCATGGCTGGTTTCATGTTTTTGCTATTGTGAATAGTGCTGCAATAAACATGCGTGGGCAGGTATATTTTCTGTAGAATGATTTGAGTTCCTCTAGGTATATGTCTAGTAGGTGGATTGTTGGGTCATATGGAAGGTCAATTTCTAGTTCTTTTAGAGTGCCACTAGTCTAAGGTTGCACTAGTTTGCATTTTCCATAAGGTTGCACTAGTCTGCATTTCTACCAGCAGTACAGAAGCATTCTGTTTTCTCTGCATCCTTCCCAGCATCTGTTGTTGTTTTATTTTATTTTATTTTATTTTATTTTTTGAGTTGGAGTCTCACTCTGTCACCCAGACTGGAGTGCAGTGGCCACCAGTGGATCCTGGCCACCACAGCCTCTACCTGCTGGGCTCCCGCGGCGATCCTTCCACCTCAGCCTTCCAAGTAGCTGGAACTATAGGCATGCGCTACCACGCCCGGCTAGTTTTTTGATTTATTGTAGAGATGAGGTCTCGCCAAGTTGCCCAGGCGCGTCTCAAACCCACGGGCTCAGGCAATCCACTCACCTCAGCCTCCCAAAGCTGGGATTACAGGCTGAGCCACCGAGTCCAGCCTGTTGTTGTTTTAATAATGATGGCCATTCTTACTGGGGTTAGGTGGTATCGCAATGTGGTTTTGATTTGCATTTCTCTGATGATGAGTGAGGCTGAGCACTTTTTCATGTGTTTGTTGGCTGTTGATATTGTTCTTTTGAGAAGTGTCTGTTCATGTCTTTTGTTCACTTTTTAACCGGGCTGGTTCTTTTTTTTCCTTTTGGCACGTTTGAGCTCCTTGTAAATCCTGGATGTTAGTTAGGCCTTTGTCAGATATAGTTGGCAAATATTTTTTCCCATTCTGTGGGCTGTCTCCCCACTATCTTAATGGTTTCTTTTGCATTGCAGAAGCTTTTCAGTTTAATGAGGTCCCACTTGTCAATCTCATCTTTTATGGCACGAACACCAGGGGTCTTGATCAGGAGATGGTTGCCTACTTCAATTTCTATAAGATTGTCTCCTGCATTTTCTAATATTCTTATAGTTTGAGATTTTATGTTTAGGTCTTTGACTCATTTAGAGTTGATTTTTGTGTATGGTGATAGGTAGAGGTCCTGTTTCAATCTTCTGCATGTGGTCTAGCAGTTTTCCCAGGACCATTTATTCCTCTCACCAGTGGTTGTTGTTGGAGGCTTTGTTGAAGATGAGTTGGTTGAGAAATTGAGTGTTTGCTTCTGGAATCTCTATCCTGTTCTATTGTTCCATATGCCTGTTCTTGTACCAATAGCAGGCTATTTTGATTATTGTAGCCTTATAGTAAAAGTTTAAAGTCTAGAAGTGTGATACTTCCCGCCTCCTACTTTGTTTCTTTTGCTAAGAATTGTTTTGGCTATTCGTGATTATTTATGTTTTCATATGAATTTTTGTATAGTTATTCCCAGGTCTGAGAAGAACGATGTTGGTAATTTAATGAGTATTGCATTGAATCTGTAGATTGCCTTTGGTTAGGATGGACATCTTAACAATGTTGATTCTTCCTATACATGAGCATGGAATATTTTTTCATGTTTGTCTTCCTGGATTTCTTTGAGCAGTGTTTTGTAATTTTCATTGTAAAGGTCTTCACTACTCTGGTTAGGAAGATGCTGAGGTATTTCTTTGTGTGTGTGTGTGTGTGTGTGTGTGTGTTTATTGTGAATGCGACTGTGCTTTTTATTTGTTTCTCTGCCTGTTTGTTGTTGGTGTATAAGAATGCAACTGTCTTTTGCACATTTATTTTGTACACTGAGACTTTGCCAAAGTCCTTTATCAGTGACAGAAAGTTTTTGACAGATTCTCTTGGACTTTTGAAGTATAAGATCATATCATCAGCAAAGAATAACTTAACTTTCTTTTTTCCTATTTGGATACCCCTGATTTCTTTCTCATGTCCATTTTCTCTAGCTAGGACTTCCAACACAATGTTGAACAAGAGGTGTGAGAGTAGGCAGCCTTGTTTTATTCTGGTTTTCAGGGGAAATGTTCCCAGTTTCTGTCCATTCAGCAAAATGCTGTCTGTGGGTTTATTGTAGATGGCACTTACTATTCTGTGGTATGTTCTTCCTATGCTTAGGTGTTTGAGGGTTTTTATCAAGAAGGGATGCTGGATTTTATCAAAAGCTTTTTCTGCATCTAATGATATGATCATGTGGTTCTTGTTTTTAATCTGTTGATGTATTTAATTACATTTATGGCCTTGTGGATATCAAACCAAGCCTGTATCCCATGAAGTCTACTTGGTCATGGTGGATAATTTTTAAGATGTGTTGTTGGATCCAATTTGCTAGAATCTTGTTGAGAACATATGCCTACGTTCATTAGGGATATTGGCCTGTAGTTCTCTCTTTTCTTTTTTTTTAGGGATATTGGCCTGTAGTTCTCTTTTTTTTGTTGGATCTTTACCTGGTTTGGGTATCAATGTGATGTGACCTTTGTAAAATGATTTGGGGAGAATTCAGTCTTTCTCAAATGCCTGGAATACTTTCAATAGGATTGGTAGCAGGTCCTTCTTGTATGTTTTGTAGAATTCCACTGAAGCCATCTGTTCCAGGGCTTTTCTTGTAGGTAGTTTTCTTAGGATGGAGTCAGTTTTCTGGGTTATTATTGGTCTATCTGTGTCTCAATGTCTTTTTGTTTCAACTTTGGGAGGCTATGTGATGTCAGAAACTTCTCCATTTAATTTTGGCTATCAAGTTTGTTTACATACAGGTGTGCATAGTATCCATGATAAACTGTTGTATTTCTTCAGGGTCAGTTATGATTTGACCTTTTGCATTTGGGCTTTCTCTCTCTTTTTCTTGGTCATTCTGGCTAGAGATCCATCAATCTTGTTTATTCTCTCAAAGAACCAGTTTTTTGTTTTGTTGATTTTTTTTCTATGATATTTTTGTGCTCTAATGTATTTGGGATTTTACTCTGATGATCTGAATTCTTCTGCAAAAGTTAGAGTTCTGATGGTTTTGTCTATCACCCTTAAGTGATTTGTTAGGCTGTTAACCTGTGATCTTTCCATTTTCTTGATGTGTGTTTGGAGAGATATAAATTCCCCTCTTAGAACTGATTTCATGACATCCCAGGGGTTTTGGCAAGATGTTTCTTGATTTTCAGAAATATTTTAATTTGTTTTGATTTCCCTGTTGACCCAGTAGTCATTCAACATCATGCTGTTAAGTGTTCATGTCTTTATGGGTTTTGGGGGAATTTTGTTGGTGTTGATATTTATTTTTATTCCACTTTGGTCTGAGAAGGTTCGTGGCAGTATTTTGATCTTGTGAAATTTGTTTATGCTTGATTTATAGCCAAGGATGTGATCCATTTTGGAGTATGTACCATGTGGTGATGAGTAGAATATATTCTGTGGTTGATGGGTGAAGTGTTCTGTAGGTATCTATTAAGTCCATTTGGTCAAGTGTCAAGTTGAAGTTCTGGATTTCTTTGTTGAATTTTTACCTTGATGATCTATCTAGGTTTGTTAGTAGGATATTTAAGTCCCCAGCTATAGTAACATTAGAGTAAATATAATTTTTTTTAGTTTACTTAATAGTTGCTTTATAAACACTGG